GTGAGCCCAGAGCCTGACACGGGGCTCGAACCCACAAACTGTGAGATCATGACCTGAGCCGAAGTTGGACGCTTAACCGACTGAGCCACCCAGGTGCCCCTAGATGTTGTTCTATTGAAGAGAGAGGGACGTGATGCTGACGATGTGGCTTTCTCTGTTCTAAGTACTTTCACTTAGATTGTTTAGATTCTTAAGGCAGTTCTCTATGAGCTGGACACTATTTTAATCTTCCATCAGTTTTTAAAATTCTTCTATCAGTTCTGTGAGTCAGGCACTGTTATAATCCCATTTCAATTCTTCTATCTTTAATAAAGACTTTGTTCCCTGTGCATCATCTTCTCCTGGACTGACACCCCCTTTCCTCCCCGCCCCCGCCAAACACTCCATTCAGTCCTTGTTGGGGCACAAGCTGCCCCAACAGGTGTCACTGGTCTGGTCTGTCCCAGACTTTCCAGAAGACCAAGCTGGAAGGCAGCTGAAGACGGCCAGTGGCAAGCGTGTGCTTAAGCCCCGATGTGACTTTCAGTCATCCAGGGAATTCAGAAGTTCTAAGGAGTCCCTTGTTTGATTCCAAACGCTTTCTCTCTTTCATTTCAGCCCAGCACAAAGCCTTTTCCAGAACAAGCTAGGCCAGGAGGCAAAGGGTTTGGAGGAAGCAACATCAGGCTTTGAATGTGGACACTGGTGGCTTGTGGAAATAAACAGTCCCCTTGACAGGCTTCCATTGGCCAGTGAAGAAAACTCAAAATAAAAAGGTTTTAGACAAATTGTTTCCAGGGACCTTGGGACTTGCTTTCCATCGCCTCCTGGTTCTTCTAACAGTTTTCTCCACCTCAGGCGATGCCCCCCTCATCCACTCGCCCAGGTGCTTGAGCCAAATATAAAAGCAAACCTAGGAATCAGCCCTCACCACCCCAATATCCAAATCATGTCTGCTCTTGCGCCCAAATATGCCCCCAGTCCATCCACTCCCTCCATCTCTACCTCCAACACCTGAGTACAGCCACCATAACTTCCGATAGCCCCCTGGCATTGCCCCCCACCATCTCTTCCTACAGGGTTGCTCGAATATTTTGTCTCACCAAACCCAGATCATGTCACTCACTTGTTTTACTGTCTTCCAACTACAAGCACACGTGTGCTCAGGAGTAACCTAACTCGATGAGGCTTAAGGACACGAGGAGCCACCAAAGAGGAGATGCAGTGTTTAGATGGAGGGGTAGAGTGAACACTGATATGGCCCCATCTGGGAAGTCTCCGGCCTTCCCTTTTCTTTTCTATCCTCCCTGGAGGTGAGCAGGGGTAGCTTTGGGCTCAAGAAATGGAGACATGAGCCCAGCTGCCAAGACCAGTTTCTCATCTAGCTTTATGTAAAAGACCCTCCCAGCTGATACAGGGCAGGCCCAGTCCAACTCTTCATATAGAACAAGAACTCAGGAACAGAACTGTTCTTTCTCTGGGGCGGGGGTTGGGGGGGGGGCGGTTGTCCATACGGGGACCCAGGGGACCAGGACGTCTGTGGGCTGGAACAAGATTCAGATTCATGGATTCCTAGTTCCATCTGCTTTTCCTTAGAGATAACATGCTAATAATAGACGGTACTCATTATCATGTCTCTTCCCTAAAGCCCCAGTGAAGCACATAATTATTGAGCCCCAACGTGTGCCAGGCACACACCGGGATACGGAAAACAAAGATGGCACATTGTTTTTGCCCTCAAGACGGTCCAGTAAAGGAAAGGACCACGCAGAGAGTACGTTCATAGCACAATATACTCCATTGTCAAAACACAGCCTTGTTGCCATGGGAATCCATGGGAAGTGAAAGTAACCCAGGATGGATGTTCTGGGAATTCAAGAGCTGGGTCTTACATGATTATAAGACTTGAGGAGGAAAAGATGGGACTGGCTGTCTAGGTATGGGACATCAATCTTGTTCAGCTAGCTGGTTTAATAGCTGCGAGGCTGAGTCTGAATGGGAGACATCCTGTGTTTAACTCCAACTCTTGCTCTGACTAGCACTTCTGACATCCTTTTCTTTGTCATGTGGAAGCCTTTTGTAAGGCCTGCAATTTATCACTAACAACCTGCTTCCAAGAGAAAACACAAATGCCTCTTGGAAGCAGTGGTTGACGAAAAATAGATAACTAGATTGAATTCAGAAGCAAAAAGAAAATGATTATGAATGGTTTCTTAGTCTTTAAGATGTATTTCAGACTGAAGAATTACAGTCTGAGTAAAGACGACAGAATGTTCAGAGAAAGTCAGCCAGGCCAAGCAACATCCAAAAAGAACCATCATTTAAATTTAGAAGCAGGGGTGCCTGGGTGGCTCAGTCGGTTAAGCGTCTGACTTCAGCTCAGGTCACGATCTCACGGCTTGTGGGTTCAAGCTCCGCGTCGGGCTCTGTGCTGACAGCTCGGAGCCTGGAGCCCGCTTCGGATTCTGTGTCTCCCTCTCACTCTGCCCCTCTCCCACTCCCACTCTGTCTCTGTCTCTCTCTCAAAAATGA